CCTTAGGAGATGCTGCACACGCCACCATCCAGACAGCTCAAAGCAGACAGTTATAGTAGTGGAGGCGTCGGGGACTCACAGTGCCTTGTTTTCTCTACCTTAAGTCCTCCAGACTGCTAGAGGCTCTGCCCCAGTTCCCTTTTGCTCCCCTCCCCTCCTGGTTTAGTTTCATATTTTCTGAGATGCTGTCCCTGATTTCTGTGGGCACCAAAGTGGCCTTTCCCATCTCTGCACTGGTCACTTCCAACTCTGACCACACCCCCCCCCCATACTCAGGTCCTACTGTTCCTCCTGTGTGATCCTCAAGAGACTTTATTCCTTTCAAAAGAACAGGAGAGGGGACCTAGACACCAGGGAAGGAGACTCTGCTCCAGCAGGGCCTGGCTGTAGACCCTGCAGTGTGTCCAGGTGTTGTCATTCAGCATCACTCCTACACCTGCTGGTGACCCCCACCTCCTCCCACTTCCAGTTGGGTCCTCCCTGCCTCCCAAGATCCAGAGAGGCTCCCATAGAACCACGAGAGGCTGAATGATCTCCATATTCCCAAAGTAATCTGGAAAGTGTCCCTCCATCTGCCTCTGCTTGGAGAAGGGATTTCACGCTGCCTGTTGGCTTTGAACACTGGACTTTCATGAGCTCCTGAATTAATGACCATTCCCAGCACATTTCTGTGGTGCTTTTCATGTTTTCAAAGTGCTTTCGCATATGAACTCTCATTCACTCCTCATGACATACAGCATGGATTTTTCTGCCCTATTTTACAGATGAAGAAACTGAGAGGGGGACCTAGGGTGAGTTCTAGAAAGATTGGACCCTCCAACCCCAGCAGTGGCCATGACTTCCCTTACAGCTAATGCTGTCTACCCCAGCTGTGGAGAGGAAGCATGGGTGACATCTGCTGCAGACCCCACCTAAGATTTTCATCAACTGGAAGAGTCCTTCCCAAGTAGGCTTTCCGGTTTGTTCTGCACAGGTAGATAATTCTCATCTGTGTTGCAAACGAGCTGATGTATAGTCTCAGCTTGTCCCAGGACTACTTAACTGTTGGGAGCTTGCCATGTGAATCGACCTGCCTCCACATCCTCAAACCTTCTTTCAGGGCTTTTAGAGGCTGAGAGGATAGAGGTGGTAACTCAGGGAGAAGAGGGAATGGAGGAACTTACCTACAGGCAGCCATGGGGACAGTACCTAGGGATCTAGTCCTGAGAAAACCATCATGAATAAGGGAAATGGTGACAATGACCCCGGGGCTGATAGACCTTATTTTTACCCCATGGGCCTCAGGCACCTATCACTGGGCAGGTCAGTTATCCACCCTGCCCAGCTGGTTACCCAGTTTGGCCTACGGAAAAGTTACCTTCTCTGAGTGGCTCCACACAAGAGATGCACAGTGGTGTCAAGGGTCAAATGTTTTCTCTTATATGCAGAAGTTAGAGAAAGAGAGAGAAAAAGGGATCCCATTAAAATATAAGGGAGGCCAGTAGAGTAGAGAAAGGAGACCCAGGGTAAAGGAGTAGGAGAGGAAGAGGGGAGCTAACTAGGGAAAGAAACTGATCAAATTATGTTGTGTGCATGTAGGCGTATGTCACAATTAATCTCCCCATTATGGATAATTTTAATTCTTCAATAAAAACAGAAGAATATATACCCAAAACTGTTGTCCTTGACATACACACATACACTACAAATTACATTTGTTTACCATATTATTGTGGTATATTAATTAGATATATATTCTGCATAATACTACTTCTATTAAATTAAATTTGTCATTAGTATTATTGTTTTTCATTTTATTTATATATTTATATATTTTTCTGTTTTATTGAAGCAATTATACATAATAGTGGGATTAATTGTGACATATTCAATATGATCAGTTTCCTTCCTTCACTCATCAACAGAACCCTTTAACCCCCATCAGAGACCCAGAACTTAGAGGCACAGAGAACCCTGGACCTGGGGTGGACATAGGGAATGTGCTTCTGTGATTTCCCATCTCCCCTGCTCAGAAGCTCCGTCTTTTGGAGACACCTCACAGGATGTGCCAGGGGAAGTGAGGGGAAGGCTAAGCAGGGTAGGATGCTACCACCTCAACCTGAGCTGCTAGGAGAGTCTCAATTCTTCTAACTCTTATGAACTACGAGGTGCTGCATTTCATTTGGTTTGGAAATCAGGCTCTACTGTTAAAAGAGATTTGAATGCATCTGGTCATTACATTTTCTTCATTTGGCCAAAGAAAATAATGAAAGCTAGAGAAGTCACTTTCATTCATGCACTGTATCAGAAATCATCACCTCCCAAATTTATGTCACTGGAGTCTCAATATCATCTCCCATTTGATATCTCAGGAAAAGCCACAGAGTCAGAAAAGTATAAACCAGAATTCACAGGTCCAGGCTGGGGCCACAGGGACAGGAAGGTTTCTACAACACACACAGTCCCCCGGGTCAACCTTGGCCAGCTTATCATCTCCTGCATTGTCTTCCCCTGACCTATAACACCCATTCCCTCAGGAGGAACTCCAAAGCTTCTTGTAACCAACGTCTTTCTCTCTGACTTCACCATCTGGAGGAACCTCTTTGGAGGAGACTGGGCCTGTTCTTTGTCCATACTCTGAATACTTGGTGATAGTTGGTATCAGGGCACCAATATCTCCATGCAATGGGGTTGTTCCCTGCACTTACATGTTTGTTACTGACTACTATTTCAGCAATGTATTCCTATTTCCATTTAACAGAAGACAGAATTGAATATTTGAGAAGATAATTAACTTGTCTAAAAGGTCATGAGATAAAATCTAATCTGTTTGAATTTGAAAGTCAAGTTCATTAGTCTCTGGGATATATTTTATCTCCCAACATAATACAGTTATCAGATTTACACTTTGTTGTAGGGAAAGAGTTGGTCTTTGTGCTCCTGAGAGGAACTTCTATGAAGCATAGTTAATATTTTTCTGCTGCTTTCTGATTAGGTCCAAGGAGATTGCTGCTATGGGCATCTTAAATACCTGGAAAATTCAATTACCTAATCTTCCTTGGCCTGATTTTATGCATATGCTGGAAACCTGAAAATTGCTAGGAAAGATTTTTAAATGTTCTAAAGATAAATTTGTGAAGTAATGAATATATTAATTAGCTGACTTCACAGGTCCACAATGTACACATATACCAAAATATCACATTGCTATCTATTCATTTACCTTCACTATGTTTTTTTTTTTTGTTGGTTAAACTTTTCTTTCCAATTAGGAGTTAGAGTGATCAAATGAATGTTTAGTACATTTTCACTAAGAAGTTGATAATTGATATATTTGTGCAGTTTGCTTTTAATGGTGAAGACACTGTATTACAATGTAATTAAAATGAGAGATGATTTAAGTAAAAAAATCATGTTATACAACATAAATATATGTAATTTTTGTGAGTTGAAAAAAATTAATAAAAAGAAAGACTGGTGAAATTTTAGTAACAGCTTCAGAGCTAGTAAAAGTTATTCAGAAGAAGAATACTTGAATCCCACTGTGTTGCTGCCAAGGGAAGTCAGGGAGCTGTGGTTTGACCCAGGCAGAAATTTATTTATTTATTTTTTTATTGGTTGTTCAAAACATTACAAAGCTCATGACATATCATCTTTCATACATTTGATTCACGTGGGTTATGAATTCCCATTTTTACCCCAAATACAAATTGCAGAATCACATCGGTTACACATCCACGTTTTTACATAATGCCATATTAGTGACTGTTGTATTCTGCTACCTTTCCTATCCCCTACTATCCCCCCTCCCCTCCCCTCCCATCTTCTCTCTCTACCCCATCTGCTGTTATTCGATTCTCTCCCTTGTTTTTTCCCCCCTTTCCCCTCACAACCTCTTATATGTAATTTTGTGTAACAATGAGGGTATCCTTCCATTTCCATGCAATTTCCCTCTCTCTCCCTTTCCCTCCCACCACTTGTCTCTGTTTAATGTTAATCTTTTCCTCATGCTCTTCCTCCCTGCTCTGTTCTTAGTTGCTCTCCTTATATCAAAGAAGACATTTGGCATTTGTTTTTTAGGGATTGGCTAGCTTCACTTAGCATAATCTTAATATTTTTTTTGGTGGAATTGAGGATTGAACCGAGGGTCTTGTACATAGGCAGCAAGCACTCTACCAACTGAGCTACATCCCCACCCCCCAGGCAGAAATTTAAAGATCTGATATGAAAAATGGGTAGATCTCATGATACATGCTTAGTGTGTGGTAGGGATTCAGGTATTTTTTAGCATTTTTGTTGTAAAATATATGTGTATATTTATTATGTAAATTTTATTACACCTGTGTTCCTTTTATGTCATATATACAGGACAGGTGTAATTAAATTTATATAATAAATATCGAGGCAATTACTATCAAACATTCAATAAATGGAATTCTTTCTCTCTTCAGAAGTTCTTGGGTGGTGCTCTCCCTACAAAACCTCCCCTTTGTTGCTGTGTCTTTTCTGTGGTTAATTTAAAACTTTTTCATCTATGTATATGTATCTCTAAAAATATAACCTTTCTTTCTTTCTCTATATGTGTACATATGAGTGTGTGTGTATGTGTGTCCACCCCACGATTATTTCTATTGTTTTATTTCATAACTGTTTCTTTCTTACATGAAGGAAGCCTGAAGAAAGACAGTCCTTGGCTCATAATGTGGATTATAAGTGTCATTGGGGATTAGTGTTATTTTTCTTTCTTCTTCTGCCATCTACTTATTGATTTCATCTATAAAGTCACCTTATGATCCACAGTGACAACCAGAGCTCTAGCCATCAGAGGCACATGACAAGCCAGAAGAATAAAAATCTGAAGGCAAGCATATTTTTGTGGGATTACAACAATTCTTTATGAAATTTCTTCACCTATATCCTCATGCTCAAAGGCAAGTTTCTCCAGTGTACCTAACTAGGTCACTGAATCACCAGGGTTACCAGTTATGTGTATCTTAGATAAGAAGTCCTCTCATTTCCACCTACCCCCTATGGGACACTTGGACTCTACCAGTGACCTTTTTGAAGGCAGCTTTCACATCCTTGTTCCTCAGGCTGTAGATGAGAGGGTTCAGCATGGGGATGACCACAGTGTAGACAACAGACACCACCTTGTCTTCCTCCAGGGATTTTCCTGAGCCGCTTCGTATATACATGAAGATGAGGGTCCCAAAGAAAAGGGCCACAGCGGTGAGGTGGGAGGCGCATGTGGAGAAAGTCTTGGCCCTGCCCCCTGAAGACTTCACCCTCAAAACGGCCTTGATGATGAGCAGGTAGGAAATGAGGATGACCAAGGCATTGGCCAAAATCACAAAGTTGCCAAAGAAGACAATGATGATCTCAATGATTTTTGTGTCACTGCAGGCAAGCTTCAGCAGGGGCGGGAGGTCACAGAAGAAGAAGTTGATCCTGTTGTCCTCACAGAAGGAGAGGGAGAAGGTGCACGTGGTTCTCAGGATGGCCCCAGACATCCCACAGGCATAGGCTCCCAGCACCAATCTCCAGCAGATTCTGGGATCCATGGCCATAGCATAGAGCAGAGGGTTGCTAATAGCTACATAGCGGTCATAGGCCATCACTGCCAGCAGGAAACACTCTGTAGCTGCACAGATGGTGAAGAAGAAGAACTGGGCAGCACAGCTGCCATAGGAGATGACCATTTTGCCTGTGGTCAGCGTGGCCAGGATCTGGGGGGTGACGACAGAGCTGTAGCAGGCATCTAGCAGGGAGAGGTGGCTCAGGAAGAAGTACATTGGGGTGTGGAGCTGCCCATCCACTCGGATGAGAACCACCATCCCCAGATTCCCCAGAAGGGTGACAAGATAGAGACTGAGAAAGACCAGGAAGAGGGGCGTCTCCAAGTTCGGGTGGTCAGTAAAGCCTGTGAGGATGAACTCGGCCACTGTAGTGAGATTATTCTTGGCCATGGATTCAGTGTGGACTGTTGGTCTGAGAATGAGAATGGAGTAACAGGAATTGTTAGAATCAAGGAACAGAATATCTTTCTCTATGGTCGAAGATAAGTTGATAATTCTGGATTTATGTACAGAGTTGTTTTTCTGAAATCCTGAACCTGGCTAATTCTTCTTGAATTTCTCCTGCATTGTATGGAGCTGAAACTTAAGCTGGTGCTTCTGATTGAAATTAATTCTGCTCCCCATTGGGGATTTCTGTGAAGATAGAAGAGACAAGATTCTCAGGTTTAGAGAAGAGAAAGAGCACATCTCTTCTAATCCCACCTAGGGCTGGAATCCCTCTTCTGCACACCCCACGTGGTCATGCTCCATCCTCAGACAGCTCCAATGTAATTCTCTGTTTGGACCTAGATTCTCCCTTTCTGTACCCTCCACACACTGACCTTAGTTTATCCCTTCCAGACACACAACAATTTTAATCCCTTCTTACCATGAAATTTGTTCAGAAGGTAGAAGATGATAATTTGCTACTCATGGTAAATAAGTTGATGTATTTTTCTTCTTACTATATGATTATTCAGGCAGGCAGTCAAAAATTACCTGGTCAGTTAGTATTAGTTAGTATCTAAAAGTTTTTCTTCACTTTAATCTTTACCACTCTAACTCAGAGGTCATCACCTTCAACATATTGTTTTAAATTTTTTTCATTATTTATATCATGATCCTAAATAATACGTTCAAACCCATGGTCTAGCTGTCTTTTAATTATGTGACTTTGAGCAAGCTACTGGATCCTTTTGAGCTTTAATTTTTTTTATCCATAACATGGAGGAAAGTATGCTTATCTCATAGGGTTATTTTGAGTATTAATTAGTTAATACTTGTGGGCAGAGAAAAGAACTCAGCACAGAGAAAGAGTTATTATTGTTGCTGTTCTTATCTTCCATCTTAGTATCTACTAAATTGCAATTCTGAAAGATTATATTTTCTTTACAAAAACTTGTGAAGTTTTTATTGTGTCTCTAAATAATATATTTATTTTTGGGGTGTGTATGTGTGTGTGTGTGCAACTTTAATAATTAACTGAGTTGGACTGTAAAATGAAGAAATCATTCATTCCTCTATTCTTTCTTCTCTCCTCCTTTCCACCACATTTTTTTAAAACTTCGGTCTTTTAACCTATTCATGTGACAATGCTGACTATTCTAATTAGCTCTTCTATACTTTTCTATGGGTTGATTATGACAATACTAAGAAGCATTTATCTATTATGATTACATGCTTGCCATGCATTAAAAGACTAAATAGCATGATATGATTTGTAGAGGAAGCAATGTCACTAAACTTCTGCTTCAGGACAAGTTTTCAAATATCAAGTGAAATGAATGTTCTTTTCTTTATACTTGACCAGAAGCTCAAAATAAGTTCTATTTATATTTGAGTCATGGGAAGTTTTACATTCCCTGAAATCTTCTCTTGCCACTCGGTACAGATCGGGGTCACATCAGAGTTTGTGTGCTTGCTGCTGGCCACTTTCCAAGTCCATCCAGGATCCCCATTAAAGTGCCTAAACTCCAAGTGATGCTTGGGATCTTTGCCTGGAAATCAGGATTCATATCTTCCTTCTTCAGAGGCATCTCTACTCTTAGAACCTTTAACATAAAATGTTTTATTCATTCTTGGCAGCAATCCTATGGACAAGGGACATTATTCTTGTTTGTGGATGAGAAACACACTGGCCATGTAAAACGATCTGCTGACCTCTCATGTGGAGGGGCAGGGTCCTCATCCAAGATTTCTGATCCCTTTATCCCACTCTGCTCTGCTTGAACTACTAGTCTGGTCTCCTAGTACCACATCCTCCATCCTCTTAGGTTGGCATCTGCTAATTAAGAATTTTTGAATCTATAACCATACCAATTAATATCAAAATTAGATTGTTAATGAATTCTTTTCTGTCAGCACAGTTGGAATTTGAGTTGAAATAGCAACATGGAATTGCTGTTTTTGATAACATCTAAAATCCACAGTAATAAAAACTATCCGACATAATATCTCCTTTTACTTTATGGATACATTGTTAAACCCATAATCATTTGTCATTGCCTTCACATCCCTGTGAAACTGACATGATTGATACTGTTATTATTTTGGTGAAGAGAAAACTGATGCCCAGAGAGGTTAAAGACTTCTTCAAAAGTCAAGGAGTGAGTTGTCTGCAGACCTGGGAAGAGCAGGCAGGTCTTCTGGTATCTTTTGGAGTGCTGTTGTACTTCCCTCCCACCTAAGGTCCAGTTCCACTGGGACCTTCCAGCAACAGGTTCAGAACTTGTGATGAAACCCCAGATTAATCTGAGCATCTATACAATCATCATAGCTTCATTAATTGTCTGGGTAGAGAGGCAAGCTGCATGCACTTTCATGGAGGAGATAAGTGGAAACTGCTCTTGAGTCCAAAGCCTATGCATCCTCTAATCAAAGGTCATTAGTGTGAGGCAGCACTAGGATTGAGTCCAGAATATATGGAGGCAACAGCTCCCTCAACCCAGAGCAGCGTATGAAAGGGAAATCATAGGTTTGTGGCTAGTGAACACCTAAAGAAAACTGAGGGACACTGATGGATTAGAATTATACCTATAATGTGTTTTGAAATGCATTGTAGAATTGGAGGGCACAGAGTAGGAGAGATGTCTTATCCAGAAGAAACCCAAGGTGGTTCCTAAACCTTGTACTTACTTTGACTCGCAATCCTCTCTCAAATTCTTCTTTTGCTTGCTTCCAAAGTTGTAGTCCCTTGGGGACAGAGAAGAAGCTCAATGAATTAACTTCCAACTCTACAGGAGTCAACATCTCAAATATACAAATTTATAAATATACATTTATCAAGCTTTTACTTTGAGTCAGGTAGATAAATTTACTTTGAAGGCTTTGTTTCCTTTCCCAAGTTCACAATAACATCATGACATAGGAGTGTTTATAGTTAGTCAAGTGAGAAAACTAAGGTTTGGAATTATTAAGTATTTTGCCTGAGGTTTCATTCATAGAGAGAAAAAATATTTAGATTCTACCTCAGTCTCTTGACTCCAGTTAAACAAATAGGATGTGCTACTTTTCCAAAAAGTGGCAGCCATTTATGGAACATTTGCTTTATAGCAATCATGTTAGTACACATTCTACACATAATCTTACACAACACTTGGCGACCCCATGAAATAGGTATTATTTTGTTCTGGAGGAAACCAAGAGCCTGAGTAGTTAAGTAATTTGTCCAAATAGTTAAGTAGCTAACTAGTTAAGTAACAGGGAGAAAACCCTGGATTCTCACCCAGGTCTATCTTATTCCAAAGCCAGAATTTGAATACATGGAGTTAATTCTTCTCCCAGCACAGGTACACGAAGTACAGTAAATTATAGGGAAATCTTTTGTCTAAGCTCTGCTTTCTATTATCAAGCCCCCATAAAACTATTTATATTTTCTAAAATTCACCTACAATACATAAACCCAGAAATATTAGAGCTGTAGACTTAGAAAATATTAATCCAGTCTTACTTGCGTATTTTATACAAGAGCTGAAGTCCCATGCCAGGAGGCAACAGTCCCAAGAGATGACAAATTCTGATGACAAAGCCCAGGGTTTTTGCCCAGTTTCACCTTCCTCCATGTGTGTGGACTTTCCTTCAAAGCCAGTATTTTCCCAGGGTGTCTAGGGTGGTAATTTCATCTTTATTACCTGCTTTAATAATCCAGTTGGATTTTTCTTGGTTTGGGATTAAAACTAATCTAAGGAACATAGTTTAGGAATTTTGCTCAGATAAATGAACGTAACCGACCAATTTGGGGTTTCCTTCTTACTAAGCAAACCAGTGGGTATTTAAAATGCTTTGGAGGTGGTTTTGCGGGAGAGATGCGGTGAGCCCAGAGGTTTCTGATGGATCATGAATCAGCACCTGGGACACCCCAGGGCTCCTGGGAAAAGCTAGCCCTGACAGGGAGAATGCACTTCCACAGAGCTCATTATTGCATCTTCTCCACTCGTCTTTGAGGATAAAGATGCAAATCTTTGGGGATTTCATGGCAACTCCTTGTTAGTCTCAAAGCTCAACTGCAGCTCCTGCAGGGAAGGACCTGGTTCTTTTCATCACTGGTCCTCGTGTTCTGCTCTCCTGCAACGAGCACTCTCAGGACTGGAACTCGGATGTGGATTGTGGTGGTGTTCTCTCTACATTGCACCCATCCTTGGTCCTACTGTCAGGTCCTGTCTCAGAAGCTCAATCCTCACTGCTCTGGGCTTCATAAGGAAGAACGATTATTGGTCAGCAGGGAATGAGGTGTCCACTCACCTCATTTGCATCTACCTTGGGGAGCTTGTTAGCTCACCTTCCTGGGAGATTTGTTTCCAGGATCCCATTGTCCACTCTCTCCGGCTATTCCAGTTCTCGTGGTATTGATCCTGTGGAGTTCTTGTCTCCATAGTTCCATGCACTTCTCTTTAGTAACTTGCCTCAGGTGGGCTTTGGTCAATCCTCTGCAGTCACTCCTAGGTCATGACTGGGTTCCTCCAAAGGGACACAATCTTCCTGATCATGCAGATGCTGCTCAGATGGTTTCTGGAAACTCTCACCATGTGGAAAAAGTCTTGCTGGCCTCAGTGACCTGTGATCACCATGCAGCCGTGTGCCAACCATCATCAATCTCCATCACAGCCACAGCTCTGTGCCCTTGAGCAATGGTGTCTGCCATTTCTGTACAACAGAGCTCACCAACAGAAAATCATAAAACTCAAGAGAGCAGATCCTGAGTTGTTAATTGTGAAATTATGTAAAAGCATGCTCTTTGTTTAACCTGGAAAAATCCTTCATACTTACTGATTTTACCTATAACTAAAATGATTTTAACTCTTCACACTGAATGAGACATGACAACAACTATCATGAATCAGCACAGGGTACAGTCCTTGTGTTAATATCATACACAATTCTCCTGTTTTTAACTTCAAAATGCTGTATAAAAT